TTTAATATAAAATTGTAATGTTTGTAATTTGTTACATGATTTTTATTAGTACATGATTGCAGTACATAATGATTTAATTCATGGTGAAATAGGTACATTTAATGTGTAAAATGGAAATTGGGCCATACCTGGGTGCATTATGGTGGGATCTGTAGAGCATAGATTGTTCTCAAAGTCGCTTCTGTGGAGTACATGGTCCCTGTCCCCAGGCATTCCACCTCAAGTCCACACTGTCTGGATGATCCTTTCTTCATGGCAAATGCATTTGGTAGCAGTGCACAGTGTGAGAGCCATACAGCATCTGGCCGGGAAGGGGTATGTGCAGTCAGGGAGGGGGCCTAGGACAGCCTGGTGCAGGTCATGAGCTGTGGGATGTTCATGGAGACTGATAAGATGGTTCCTGCAGCTTTTGTGGGCACAGGCTCAAGCATGGGGCTGTGTGCAGCTCCTACAGCTTAGGAAGGATTCTTGGGGACAGAGCAGAACAGGGCTCACTGGGACAGGCTTGTCCTACTCACTGTCCAGCTGACCCTGCTGAAAGGTGGAAAGAAGGGGTGTCTCAGCACATCGGGGCAGTGTGGGAGGGAGGTCAGGGCAGAGCCTGAAGTCACCACCCCAACTGGGTGCTGGAATGATGATTACACAGATTCACTGCCCGCTTGGGGAAAATCACCCTGCTGGTGGAATCCTCACTCTTCACCAGAGATACCAAACCACCTCAAGTCCTAAAGGTGGAAACCCAGGCATAGAGGTCCATTTTGGAGTTTGTGTTTCAAAAATCCTTAGAGAAGCCTGTTAAGGTGGTACAGATCTATAATCCCAGGACTGAGGGATTAGTACAGTCCCTGGGAGGCTAAAGCAAGCAGATCAGAAGTTTGAATCCAGGCTGGGTAAATCAGCTACTTAGTGAGATTCTGTGACAAAACTAAAAAATGGGCTGGCGATGTAGCTCACTGAGAAAGTCCTAGGTTCAATCCCCAGTACTAAAAACCAATTATTGATTTGTATAGTACCTAGGTCAAGAGTCCTACAGTTTCCATGGGGCAAAATTGGACCAATCATCCCTTGGAACCTTGAGCCCCTGGTGTCCAGGATGCTCTGAGATTTCATATTTTAAAAATAAAATTCAATCAAAATCTAGAGAACGATTTTTCTTCACCCAGGAGAAGTGGGGCTGTGGTGTCCTGGCCCACAGTCTTCTGAAACCCATGAGTCCTTTCCTGGATTATGTGGCTAGGGAGAAATCTGATTGCACTGATGTGGAAAACTTAGAATACGTGAATTATGGGGATATAATAGGAGTGGTGGCCAGGGACTAGGTGCAGGAGAGAAGCGAGGAACCACTCAATGGTACAACACTGATTAAAATGCCCTGGACCTGGACAGAGGTGTCAAGTTCACAACACTGAGCAGGCACTTCGTGCTGCCAGGCTGATCTTTTTAAACAACAGTAAAATCTAAAGTTTTATTTAAAAATAAGCCTATCATGTACATAAATCCAGAAAATAAGTGGAAAAGTAAAGAAGAAAACATGAGCAACGGTAATAGAGGGGAGTGGCAGGTGTGGGGCAGGACCTGGCCCCAGGGGGAGGCCAGGAGCTGACACTTGCTGAGGAGCCACCAGGACCCCGCCTTGTGCAGCTGGAGGAGAAGGGCTTCCTGGTGCTCCTTCTGGCTGTGGTGCCAGAGCTGGGGAGGGAGCTGCAGGTGGAGCTGGCACAGGCTCTGCAGCTGGGACTTCAGCTTTGACTGGAGCTACTCCTGCAGTTGAAAGAGAAGTTCACCAACTGTCCATGTTTCTTCCTGGGGCACAACCTTCCCACTGCCTGTTAGAGAGCTCTGTGCAGGAAGCCTCCCCCAGAAAGTCCCCCCAGACTGCATCAGCCCACTGACTGCTGAGTGACACAAGGTTACTGAGACACCCAGCACCAGAATGCTCTCTGTGTCCAAAGGCCCCTCCCTCCCCACATGCCCATAGGCTCACACCACAGTCCTCACCCTTGGGCTCTGCCTCAGTTGGCTAGGCATGCTCTAGCTGGGCCAGGAGGTCAGGCACCTGGGAGCGCAGCTCCAGCAAGGAGTCAAGGACAGAGGACATGGAGCTGGGGAAGGCAGGTAGGCAGAGTGAGAGGTCTGGCCATTCCTCCCACACTGCCGAGTGAACATGCAGGGAAGGACCAGTGAGCCTCCTGCCCAGTCTGCACATGCTCCAGCCCCACCGTCTCCCACCCTCAGTAGAGCAGTCCTGGCAACCTTTCTAATGTGATGGTTCCCAGTCACCTGGTAGATCTGGTTAATGCAACTCTGTTGGCTTTTCCTGAAGTGCTACCAGTTCATCCTGTGGTGTTATTAGAACAGATTCACATGGCTACTGACCTGATTTGATGTGCCTTCTACTGTGTTGTTACAACCCTCTCAGCTTCATAGTCTTGTTTCAGAAAGGCTCAGTGGGAAGGAGTCTTTGTTCAGTGGTGTGACTGCCTCTGTCTTCAGGGCAGCTGGACACTGTCTCCCTGCCTGTCCCCACTGTCAGCTCCATGAGGACAGAGTCTGGTCTCTGCTGTATGATTGTACTCAAGGGCACAGGGCTGCTGCTCCATAACTGAGAAGTGAGGGACAGTACGCATCTCTGCTGCCTTGCCTCTCCTCAGGCTTTAGAGTATGTAGTGCTGTGTTGCCCGGTGTCTGTGCCTCCTCTGGACTCCCTTTGCACTGCTGTGAATCCACATCTAGGGAGGAAAGGAGGGGCTTCATCTACTGTAATTTGAGTAATATCTGCTCTGATTGTGACTGTGTAGATACCAAATATCACTGAAACTCAAAAGGGCAGTGGTTGCATCTGCTGTGGATATTGGTTCATGATCATTACCTGGAAAAGTGTTTGCACATAGTTTGTCTTCATGTATGTTGGTAAAGTGATGTAGCCACCTGCTCTTCCATGATGTCTGAGTGAGCCTGGGTCCTTTGCACACCCCAAGGTTTCCTGCTCTGGGAACACTGTGAAACCAATAGTGATTCTGCACACTTTACAGTGACCAGCACAATTATCCCTAAGTGCAGGGCTCAGTCAGGGGGATTCACAGCTGTGCAGAGGGCATGGAAGATCATCTGTGGGAATCAGCAGGGCTGTCTTAGCTGATCTTCCATGAGAGGAAGGCCATGGTCAATCCTTACAGTAGAGACCCCATTCCATCACACAGTCACAATGTGAGCTTCATTTTCTCAGAACTCCATTGATCAGAGTTGCAAGTGAGGCTGAGAGGGGCTTGCACCTTCCCAAGACTTGGAGCTATAGTGGCCAAGTCCACCTTGGTGCCGAGAACAGAACTCACCTTCCCACCATCCCCTCCTGTGGGGACGAAATGCAGGCCCTTCTGGGGTCCAGGAAGGAGGGCCCATTGATGGGCCAGCTATGCAGGAAGGCCTGCTGGGGGGGCCTCCCTCAGGGTGTCTGGCATGCCTGCCTGTGCTGTCCTCACTGTGCAGACCTCTGCCAGGCTCTGGGCCGCCTGATTTCCAGTCTGTGAAGGAACAGTGGGGAGACATGGAATTGGCATCCCACCCATGACTCATTGGGAGTGATGGAGGATTAAGCCTTGATCAAACTCTGAATTGTCTATAGTGGCTCCTACCAGGAGGGCACAGGAGGATCCTCATATTAGAGTTAAATTTCAGAAGAGACACCTAGAAATACTAGCATTTCAGGCCAGCTTGTTAGCCGAGGAGAGGTTGTGTGTAACTCCTTGCATTAAAAGCAACATCCCATGGGTCCTGAGACCCCTCCCAGGGTAGAGATGAGGAATCAGCCACATGGATGCCTGGGCCAGGAGTTACAGTGAGGTGAAATGGCTGAATGCAATCATGGCAAGATTGAAGTGACACCTTGTCCACGTCCTTTTCTTGGGTCTCCTCCAGCATGTGGATGGTGACTTTGCCCCGGCCAAGGTGGAGGCTGAGCAGAGAGGATGTGGATCTTGGTGACATGGGACCCAGATACCTTTGGGAGCAGGACCCTGGCCCACTGTTACCAAGCCCTGCAGGCAAGAGGTGAAGGTGTTGTCTGTCCCCGAGGGCCCTCTCTGTCCCCCTGTGGCCTCAGGACAGAGTCCCCTCTTCTCACATACACACCGTGGGCCTGAGCTGGCACCTGTTATTATTGTGGCCCCAGTGTCTGTCACAGGCACATGGCACACAAGCCCCAGTGACAGCTCCAGCCCGATGTCCTGATGTCCTATGTGCAGTTCTGGTGGGACAGTGTCCAGCAGCTGGCAGGCAGCATGAGGCTCTGCCTTGTCACAGTTTGTGGTGTTTTTGCCCCCGGTAACCCTGTGCTCCCCAAATGCAAACAGCTGTGTCACAGGCTTCTACCCCAAGAGGACAGGAGATGGCTCTGGAGGCTGTGAATCATCACTGGGCAGTGGCCTTCTCCTCCTGCCAGCCCTGTCATGGCTGAGATGTGACAGGACCCTGGGCTCACAGCCTCCCAGCACCTGCTCCTGCCCAGGAGGAGCTTCTCCCCTGACCCTGTCCTCCCACCTCCCACACAGAGTGAAGACCCAGGGTGGGAGTGGTGCTGGGGACTCACAGTGGTGGGCAGGCCTAAATGTTCTTGTCCTGGACTTGGTGTCTCAGAGTACCTGGTGGCCAGTCCCAGGGAGACCTGCCCTGGGCTCCCTATCATCTCAGGCCCCGAGGTCTCTGGGTGTGGTGAGACCTGCCCTGTGCTGCCCATGAGGACTGGGTGGTTCTTCGTGAGTGGCCTGTAGTATCTGAACTTAGTCATCCATCCCCTTGTTCCCAAGTGCTTTCCCTGTGCAGGGTCCTGAGGCTGTGGCCTGGAGGCCTTGGAAAGCAGCACGACATGTTCACTGGTGACTCTCTCCAGCCAAGTGACTGTTAGGCAGCCTTGGTGAGACTGTGGTGCCTGTTACTCCAGGGTTCTGAGTTCTGCTGGGACCTGTCGCCAAGGAAGTGAGGCCATGTACTGGGGTCCATAGGATGAGCCTCCTGGTCTGGTAAGAAGACCCTATGGCCCCTTCCTTTATTTTTATTTTGGCAGAAAAATCTACTATTTTGTTTCATGTATATATCATTCCAGAAGTATTTTACAGTCATGGAGCTTTTTAAAAAATTAATATTATTGGTAGATTTTAGATATACATACTGATCACAGTCATCATAGGGAATGTGGATCTCTACATGATATATCATGATTCCTTTTCCCCCAGTCCCCTACCCTCTGTGTAACTCTTCTTTTCCTCATTATTTTCAAAAGCTTTGGTTCACATTTTTCTTATTATTCTTTTTTCCTTGTCCCTTATTTAATTTCCTCCTCCCAACTCCCTCCTTCCATTTTCTATTTGGACATTTTCTTTCTACTTCCCAATATCTGTTATACATTTTGGACCTTTTTTATCCTTTTGGTTTCTCACACCAGAAGAAGAATGCAATATTTAAAAATGTGTTTGTTTCATTTCAATAAAGACTATAGCCTCCAAGTACATAAGGCCTCAAGTTTATTTTTTCTGTGGCTTATAAATGCTACATTGTACAAAAAAACGTCTGCATCTTCCTTAACCACTACACTGTTGATGGTCATTTGTGCTGTTTCCAAGATTTAGCTATTACATATTGTGCTGATATAACATGGTTGTGCATATATTGTTGTGGTATAAAGCTTTTCATTATTTTGGGAAGATACCACCCATCCTTTTCATAGTGGAATAAATTTGAATGCACCTTAAAAAAGGCAATGAAAAATTGAAAGGTTGTTTGTAATGTTATACAGTTTGATGTACTTCAAGTTTTATTGCAACAAATGTGTTGATGCTTCAGATGCAACAGGCACAGTGGGGAGTGTGATTTTCCTTCCAAAGGATTCATTCTCCCTCAAGACCAGTGCTCAGGGTCATCACTTAGAGATCTGTTGGATTTTAGGAGGATTTTCTTTCAGAGGTTGCCTTTAGTTTTATTTCAGTTCAAACAGTGACTATGGAGATGTTCCAAAAATGCCTATAATCATTTTCTTTAAGAGATAAAAACATTTGAAATATCCCCTGGAAGGCCAGGCATGGAAGTCGTAGCAGGTTATAACTTTCAGGTGCACATGGACAACTATTCACACTGAGATACTAAACTCAATCACAAAGTGCAGCATTCAGTACTGTTACAAGATGTGAGGAGGGACAGGAGGTGGTGACTGCAAAGTGCAGTCTTTGTGAGGCCCTGGAGATCATCACCTGAATGGTGATGCAGAGCACATTCACACTTCACTTGGGAATTTTTCCTGTGTCCACAGCTGTCCCCTCCTGTCCCCTATCCCAAGCTGACCACTTGGTTTGCCCTTTGTAGAGGGCATGGAACTGTAAACATTTAGTATAAATATTTTCTGCAGGTCTTCTTCAGGAAGCAAACCATGGTAGGTTTTCTGCATGGTGCTTCTTGTCACTGGTGAAGCCCTCACAGCCCATTGTGTGGATGGGGCAGGAATTTCTCCTCATCCATCTGTTGATGGCCATTTGTTCTGTTTCCAGTGTTGAATTGAAAGTGAATCTGCTCTGACCATTCTTACACATCTGCTTGTATGGTACCAACTGTCATTTCTTGGGGGAGATATTTAGATGTGAAATTGCTCGATCATAGTGCTGATGTTCATTTAACTTCAAAATTATTAAAATATGTTTTGAAGCAGTTGTTGTAAGCCAAGCTTGAGGATTTTTGTTGTTGTTGGTTTATTTCATTTTGTTTGCTTCTTGGTTTTTGGCATGGATTGTGAGTGTATATCCTTGAATTTTCAGTGTTTTCTGAGTTGATTTTGTATAATCAGCCTGAGAATAAGCTGTTTATATTACATGAATTTAATATTTCTATAGTGGAGAAAAATGTAAAAGAAAAACAATAAAAATCACATGTAATTTCAGGAACCCAAAGCTTCTGCAGTTCCTCTTGCATGTGGGCGTTAGTCAACACACCTTGCATGGGATTGACCATCATGTAGACATTGGCATACTGGTGGGTATTTGTCTTCGTTCAAATTTTTATTTTTAACTATTTAAATGAGATGGCTGCAAATATGCTACTTCATATATCCTCTCAGGCTCTGGATATCTTAGTTGGAAAAGATTTGACCGTTCTTTTTTTGTCTTAATATTTTTGTACTAGATTTTGAATCTGGCACTTTTCATTGAGTTCTATTCCCATATCATTTTAAATTTTGTTTTTCTCTTCCTTTTTGATTTGAGGCAGGGTCTAATTCACTAATTGGACCTGGCTGGGCTTAAATCTGTGATCCTCTTTCTTGAGCCTCCTGAAGCTCTGGGATTTCCTGCCCTGGGCTCCCTCTCATCCCAGGACCCAAGGTCTCTGGGTCTGCTGAGAGGGGCATCAAAAGATGTGAGAGACAGAAAATATGTGTGTATACCGATTCTTCAAAACAAGTACAAATGTTAGCCATTGTAAGGATATGCCAATTTTAAAAATGTTTGTTCAGAAGTTTATAAATTCATGATATGTAAAATTTTGTGTTCCTCAAACACTATAGGTATCTGAAAAATGATTTACAGTATAAGATAGCACCTTCAGATATCTTGCACATAACATATATTTAGAAATTATTTTAATCAAGGGGAGACTAAGGAATCTAATACCTATGATGACATCTTTTATGTTTATATTTTTTAACTTTCAGGTTAGGAGCCAGGGATTTAGCTCAGTGGTTGCACCACCTGCCTTGCAAGTGCAAGAACCTGAGTTCAATCCCTGGTACCAAAAAAATAAAAATAAAAACAAAAACAAAAACAAAAAACTTTCAGGTTATCTTGTTCATTGTTATATAGTTTATAAATAATTTTGAAATACTTTTTAGTACAAGACAGGATTGAATAATGAAATGACAAAGAATAATATATTCTTTCAATATAGAAATTTGAATTAATTTTATATATGTATGAAATAGAAATGTTGAATAAAGTAATCACTAATCACTTTCCATTTTACTTTTTATTTTGTGCATGTTAATAATGAATCATGAGCTGGGTGTTCTCGCTGAGTTATAAGGTTCTTGCCTTACAACATGTAGGAGGTCCTCAGTTTGCTCTTTCTCACTGTACACACACACACACACACCATAAAACTGTATAATATTTAAAAACTTTTTCTAGGCTAAAAAAATGGCCATTTCATACTCTGTTGGTAGGACTTTAAATTAATATAAACTATTTCAGAAAATTTTAGAAACACCAATCAAAGATAATTTTAAAAATTCCTATACTTTAACCAAATAATTCAAATTGAGTACAAAATTTAAAAATTTATTCAAAGTGAAAAATTTGTAATGTAGGAAATGATTTACCTAAAGGATGTGCCTTGCATCACTAATTGTAATACAAATGTAAACATTTTTTAAACCACAATTCTGTTAGCAAAATAGTAAAATTTCTATATGGAGGGCTTATATAGAGTCATTAAATCAAAATTATGATTTGGAAAATACACATTTAATTATTAGAAGTATTCATAATGAACAAGGTGTCATTTTATTTCCAAGAAGAAATATTCTTCCCTGAAAGCCCTCAGGAGTTAGTCAAGAATAATAAAAATTCCCCTATCTATCTGCAGGATAAAATAAGTAATCCAAACACTTCTTTAAACCTAGGATATTATACTTTGCATTGGAGAGTTCTCATATCTGTTCTGCTTTTTCATGTGCTATGATTTTGTTCTTTTGTTTCTGATAGCTCTTTTTATAGTCTACTACTTTTATTTTCAATTTTTCTTCTACATATTTTGCAGTTCTGTAAATTTATTACATGAATAAAATACACTCCAGATTTTCAGTAGCCTAACACTATCTGTATCAGGGAGAAAGAAGACAGAAATAAAATATAGGACCACCTTTTACATATAAAGAAATTTCCATTTGCACATTTAGTCATTCATAGACTGAACAATGTACACGGAGTGCCCACAATGTGAAACACACTATACTAAGCCCTGCAGATAAAATACATGAGCCCTCTGCTGTTGTTTACCTTCAAGTCTAGTGGGGAAGACAAAAAAAAAGATCATTATAAATTCACATAGATGTTGTAAGGAAAGATCTGTGATCACATACAGGAATGTGATGTACAGTCGGCTCTGGAAGATTTCCCAGGGGGAAGAGATGGCAGCACTGAGAAATGGAAGGGAACAGGGAGCAGTTAGGCAGAGCATGAAGAAGAGCATGCTCATCATTCTACAGCAGGTATTGAGGCTCTGTGGCAGTTTGCTACTAGCCAAGGGGAGTCATGAGTACAGGCGTATCTTCCTGTCTGAAAGAACCTCAACTGACACAATACATTAAAGAACAAATTCCAAGACAGCAGCCCTCATTTAATGAAGACAATGATAGCTGAGCAGCAGAAAACAGATGAGGTAAGCCTTCCTAATGTCCCAGCTCCCTGGTGCCCTTAGAGACTTCCTAGACCACGACACAGGAGCAGAAACTGAAGTTGAGTCCCCCCCCGCCGACCTTGAGCTGAGGTGCTGAAGCTAAGTTTGGTAAAACGAAGGTAGATGGAGATTGCAGGACAGAATGCTATATATATACTGTTTTGTTTTGTTTTGTTTTTTTCTTTTCTTTTTCGGTACCGGGGATTGAACTCCAGACCTTGTGCTTGTGAGGCAGGTGGCGGGACCACTGAGCTAAATCCCTGGGCCCCTCCTTTAATATTGAGCAGAGTGAGAAACAACACCGATGTGCCAGGAAGCTACCCAAGACTAAAGGAAAAACTACCTGAAAGTATCAAAGGAAACTGCCTGATGCTCACACAGTTCCAGGAAGAGTGTCCACACCCATCAGTCAGGCTGGAACAATCACAGTGCACAGGACTATGGGTAGAGTGATCAGAAAGGCCATGTTCTAGTGAGGCAGGAGATTAGGGCATGGCCCAGCAGCTGGGCAATTGGGTGTGACCTCTCCATCATGGAGACCTGTTAATCATGGCCAGGACACATGCGCAGAGCAGCTTCAGAGCCCTACATAGGCAGCTCAGATCTGTCATCAGAACAGGGGTAAAAAAGACTGTGGCCATTGGCCTCATGGCAACTGACCCCTTTCTCTTGTAGTGGTCCCCTCTGCATGTTGTTCCACTCTTCAGACCACTTCCTTTTTTTTTTTTTTAATTCTGAATTAGAGATTTATTTTTTAAGTACAAGTTCAGTTAGAATGCAGAGACAAAAACTGTTGTCAAACATAAAAATATGAATTGAATCACTTCTTTTTAGATGGATCTTTAACATTGACTTGACCATATGGACACTGTCTGTAGGCAGAGCCACAGCAGGCACCTCTCTGCAAGTGGGTCAGCCTCATGAGCACCAAGTAACCAGTAGTTGGGTCCATGTAGTTTAACTGGTCAGCACGCATGCATGGTGGCTGGTCCCATGCAGTGTCAGCTGATCAGAAAACACACCCCACTCTCACAGGGATGGATACCCTGTCAGCCCTTTTTCTGATGTGTGGCCGAGGCCGGGGTTCCAGCAAGCCAAGCCCCAGCATGACTGCACTGCTTCCAGCACTTCCTGTTTATGAGAGCCTTTCTTTATTTTCATAGCACTTCTCCCCTTTCTCCCTACATTTACCTTTAATAAATGCAAAAGTTCTATGTTCTTCTCTTATATTGTCCAATTCTTTCAGCAGGACAAGAGCCTAGAAGGCACTCCTGGACATCCCAGTATCCTTGAACACCAGTACAGTCTGGATTAACCCTCTATTGACTGCTGTTCTGTTACACCTAACCAGTCATAAGAACAAGACCAAGAAGGTTCAATGCAATTCCAATTGAAATCCCAGCAGCATACTTCATAGACCTTGAGAAAACAATC